CCAGCTGGACAATTGGGCATCAGTTAAATCATGCTCTGAATAAAAAGGCAGAATTTGACACCCACAGATCTGAACCAAATACCAGGGGAGTAATCTTGGTTTCTTTGGCATTGAAAAACAAAAGCAAAAAAAACACCTCAAATCATTTTAGACTGTAAACGGCTCATTGAAATTAGTGCTACCCCTTGGGGTTTGGCTTTGTTAGATGTTCCCTCTCTCTGCTATTCATGTCCCTTCAAAAATTAAACTCAAAAACCTAAATTTGTAATTAGTCCTTTAACTTTTCTTCCCACCACTTTTCTCAGTAAGATTAGTTATCACAAGATCATCAGATTTCATCTCTAAAGCCTACCAGTCTTCATTTTTGCCATATTTTCTTTTCCTTCATGTTTTGTTTTTTTGTGTTTTTTTTTTATAGAATTTCTTTGTAGTCTCATTTTTTTTTTTAATTTTTGGGGAACAGTATGTTTTTCCCAGGACCCATCAGCTCCAAGTCAAGTTGTCCTTCAGTCTTAGTTGTGGAAGACTCAGCTCCAACTCTAGTCACCGTTTTCAGTCTAGTTGCAGGGGGTGCAGCCCACCATCCCATGTGGGAGTCGAACCAGCAACCTTGTTAAGAGCACACGCTCTAACCAACTGAGCAATCTGGTCACCCACCAGCAGCTCAGTGGCAGCTCAGCTCAAGTCATTGTCTTCAATCTAGTTGCGGAGGGTGCAGCTCACTGGCCCATGTGGGAATCAAACCGGCAACCCTGTTGTTGCCCAGAGCTTGAGCTCTCTAACCAACTCAGCCACCCGGCCGCCCTCCTTCATATGTTTTTTTAACGTCAGAATTTCTGAAAGGGGTATTCCCATTATCTGCAACTACACTGTTTAGTATGGTGGCCACTAGCCACATGTGGGTTTTTAAGTTAAAGTTAATTAAAATTAATTAGAATGGGCAAAATATTTAAACAGAAGAAGGTATGGGGCTGGTTGAAAAGCCCAGGAAAGGTTGTTGAATATCATTAGCCATTAGGGAAATGTAAGTTAAAGCCACGATGAGAAACATTACACACCTATTAGAATGGCTGAAGTAGAAAATACTGACAATCCCAAATGCTGAAGAGGAAGTAGAATCAACCGTATGTCTTATACATTGCTGGTGGGAATGTAGAATGGTATTGCCACTCTGGTAAACAGTTTGGCAACTTCTTTGAAAGAATGTTTACCATACAACCCAGCAATCACACACCTGGGTTTTACCCTAGGGAAATGTGCACACAAAAGCCTGTGCACTAACTAATTTTCACACAGCTTTATTTGTAATAGCCAAAGACTGGACACAACATAAATATCCTTTAATTGGTGAATGGGTAAACAAACTGTGATATATCCACACAGTGACTCCATTGAACTACTCAGCAATAAAAAAGAATGAACTGTTGATACATGCAGTGTAGTGAATGGCTCTCAAAATCATTGTGGTAAGTGAGAGAAGTCAATCTCAAAAGTTTCTATAATATATGATTCCATACACAAAACATTCTTGAAATGACAGAATTATAACGATGGAGAACAGATCAGTAGTTGCCAGGGATTAGGATTGGGGTGACTGCATGACTATAGAAGGGGAGGCATTGGGACAGTTCTGTATTCTGATCATGGTAGAAGTTACTATAAAAGGAAGGGAGGAAGGGTGAAAAGGAAAGGAGGGAGTGCATGTAAAACTGGTCAAATCCGAATAAGGTCTGTAGCTCAGTTAATACTTACCAATGTCAGTTTCCTGGTTTTGATCATTGTACTACAGTAATGTAGAGGAAACTGGAATAGGGGTACCCAGGAACTCTATACTATTTTGCAACTTCTTTGTAATCTAAAATAATTTCAAAATTAAAGATTTTGAAATTAAAATTCAGTTCTTCATTTAAAGCCATTTAAACTGCTCAATAACCCCATGTGGCTAAAGGCAGCCTTATCAGATAGCACAGATACAGAATATTTCTATCAACACTGAAAAATTTTATTGGACAATGCTGGTCAAAAAGCACATGTCTGACTTTGGCCTGTGTTCTGTCTTTCTTGATTATTTTAAATTCTAATATCACACGATTGCTTTCTTATATTTTCTATCATGTTACCTTATCAACCAGTTGTTTTGGTTATATTCAAACCTAGAGAAATATTTATCTTTAATTTCTCAAATTTTACAGAAATAAAAGTTTTATGCCAATTTAGCAATTTATCTGACACCTGTTTTAGTAGGTATCTGGATATTTAAATTTTCCAACACTTACGTATTTTGCCCCTGGATCAGTTTTATCACCTATATTATCACCTGTATTAGGATATAGTCCTAATATCTCTCATACACTTATCCTAATATACTTTCTTTACAGTGTTCTTTGTGTTTTCCTTCCCTTTTATCCTTACCCAAAATCTCTTTCAAAATCTTTGATTTCTGAAAAGGCACATAATTTTTCATGTTTGGTGCTATTTCTTCCTTGTCTTCTGGACGTGCATCTTTTGAAAAGGAAATTCCTTCCATTGCCATATTCTAGTCTTGTATCCCATAACACTTATTCCTCTTTGGCTTCTTTGTATTTTCACTTAAGAATTACTGGCACTTCCTTTACTGTGGAACTTGGTTCTGCTTTACTTTCATCCATCCGTCCTGATGTCTAGTTTGATGGTTTTCTATGAGCCTTCTGAGATTTGAGTGCAAGGCAGAGGAGGAGGAGGAGACAATAGATGAAAACCATTCACATAGCAACAAAATCAAGACACTGACGGACAAGAAGAATGGGGTGACCTAACTGAAGAAAACCACAAAGAGAGAAATAAAGGAACAATTGGAATTAAGATTATTATCCTGGGTGGGAAAATCTGTATATTAATGATGTCAGTATTCCTTCAAAATAATTCATCAGTTTTTTGCAATTGTAATCAAAATCCAATAGAATTTTTCTTAAAACTTGATGATTCAAAGTTTCATCTGGAAGACCATCAAAGAACATTTGGAGTGTAAAAATGAATCATAATTAGGGATATGGGAAACAAAGCCAGATAATAAAACTTAAGTCAACAGTAATTACAGTAGTGTAGGACTGGCACAAAAACAGAGTAATCATTGGATCCAGAGAGCCAGGAACTATAACCAGTATAAAAATTCAGCAAAAGAAAGGGTTCTTCATGAATTAATTGCATTAATTGTATGTGTATTCACTAAGCCTCTAATACCTAAATGAGCAATAGACAGTTTATCAAAGAAGAAATAGAGTAAGCGAAATAAAGTTTTCTTGGATTGAAGATATAAAAATGAAAACAATGAAGTTCTGTTTCCAATTGTTAAGTGGATAAAGGTTTTTATTGTTGAAACCTATACTATTGATGGTGCATTGGTGCTATTGATCTCTTTCATTGTTGTCATCATTTCATTCCTATCATTGCCTTACTGCATCATTCTTGATACAGTAGTATCGCACATTCTATCCTTAAGCAAATCATACTGGCTCTATGTTTGAAATATACTCAGATACAGCATCTAAACACCTCCACTCTATTCTCCTGGTCTAAGCCGCCTAGCCTTCTTGCCTTATTTATTGTAATAGCCTCTAACTTTTCTCCTTGCTTATCTTGCTGCTCTACAGTCTCCTCTGAGCACAGCAGTCAAAATTACCAATTTAAAATATAAGTCTGATCATGTCATTCCTCTACTCAGCAGCCATCAGTTGTTCTCAAGCTCACTCAGAATAACGCCAAGGGCATCATAGTAGCCTACAAACTCTGCATGATTTAGACTCCCACCTTTCCTTTCTGACCTCACCTCCCATACTGCCTCCCCGCACCTTGCTTTCTCTGCTCAAGTCATGTTAGCCTCATTGTCATTCTTTTAGTAAATCAAGTATGCTCCTACCTCAGGGCCTTTGTACTTACGGTTACTCTGCCTAAGATGATTTAGCCCAAAATACCGACTCAGCCTGTTCTCTCTCTTCTTTCAGGTCACTGTTAATGTATCAGGGAGGTTTTCCCCAACTGCCCTTTATAACACAGCACCCTCCCTTCCTTTCTAAACCCTGCTTCCGTTTTCTCTACAGTACATATCATCATCTAAGTTATATGATTACTTATGTATTGTTTTTCTTTTTCCAACTAGATTGTCAGCTTCATAAGGACAGGGACTTTATTTTAATTCACTTCTGTATCCCTAGCCCTTACCAAGTGTCCGGTATATAGTAGGCACTCAATATTTATTGATTGAGTGAATAGATTGAAACTTTTTAGAAAACAACAACTTGATTTAGAAGCCTTTTTTAAAATTAAAGCAAGAGAATGGTTAAGTAAATTTTATCCACCTGATGGCGAGAGAGAGACAGAGAGAGAAAGTGAAAAAGAGATCTGCATATGGCAGGGTCTGAGAGGATGGGATCAAGAGCAGTAATGAAGGTTGTTTTTTTCTCTCCCTTAGTAAGAGAAGAAATGGGAGAATAATTTCGAGTGTAGAGGAAGTTGTAGAATTAAGAACAAGTACTTTGTGTTGTCAAATAAGTACTTTGAGAAGACTAGGTTGATGGAAGCAAAAGGTTGGTGCAGGGCAGTTGCAGAAAATAAGATTTTCAATGGATGTTAAAAGTCTTGAAATAGAATAGGTAAATGAGGTAGGCCTGCCGTGATGCATGATGGAGATCAGTAGTGTGAGTTCTTAAGCTGTGAGGGATGAAAAAGCTGTCTAAATCTAAAATTATCAGTTTCACATAAAGTGGCAAAGGAGAGTGGGATAAGAAATACCAACTGAGCGGCAGTTGTAACAAGGCAGAGTTGAGGTAATACCACTCTAGGTAGAAAGGAGTGTGGAGTCTGATGAAACAAAGACATGAATCAAAGATCAGCAGTCAGTGATGTGTCAAAGAATAAGGCTTGGTGGTTAACTGCACAGGGGATGCAAAGGAAGAGGAAATAAAAGGTTTTGTCAGTATTAAGAAATCCTATTTCCTTTTAATTATTTTCTTTTTTATTTATAGGTTTCTCTGTCATTCACAGAAAAATGGATCATTTAAACCTTTGGAGGACTCAGTTATCACAATACTTCTATACTACCAACTAAGATTTATAACAGTAAATTTATGATAGTAAATTTCTGCATCATAGAATTGCTGAAGATCTAAAAGGATATTCTTTTATAAAAATATTCTTACAGCACCATGATATTACTAAATAAAACTAAAAAGCACAATTATTAAATTATTAGACTTGCTATACAAGCACACATGTGCAACAGCTACTGTATCCTGACAGTTACCAAACCTCAAATTTAGATTGTTTCCTTCATGGGAAAGGCCATTATATTTGCAAGAAACCACTGAACATTGTCAAATGTATTTTCTTCCACTCAGTGTCATTTAGGAGAATTTACTTGAAACAAGTTCTAGAAAATTCCAAGTCCCACCACCAAGTGGATTTGATATTATGGCAGCAGCTTACAGACTTGTGGTTAGTACTGTGAACCACTACAGCAGCGTGGTGATAGACCGGCGTTTTGAGCAAGCTATACATTATTGCACTGGAACCTGCCACACCTTCACACATGGAGTTGACTGCATTGTGGTACATCACAGTGTTTGTGCAGACCTCTTACACATCCCTGTGTCTCAGTTCAAAGATGCAGATCTGGACTCTATATTTCTACCCCATGAAAATGGGTTTTCCTTAACTGAAAGTGACTATCCCCATCAGGCCCTCACAGGCATACCCAGGGCCAAGAAAGGATCTACATTTCAGAACACCTGTAATGTAAAGGACATTGCAGGAGAAGCAATTAGTTTTGCCAGTGGGAAAATAAAAGAATTTTCCCTTGAAAAACTCAAAAACTCTAACCATGCAGCTTACAAAAAGGGAAGGAAAGTTAAGTCTGACTCATTTAATAGGAGGTCAGTTGATTTTGACTTGCTTTGTGGACATTATAACAATGATGGCAACGCCTCATCTTTTAGTTTACTCCGGAGTTCTTCAGTTGAGGAAAAATCTTTATCTCGTAGAAACTCACTCGACATGAACCTGACTTCAATGTTTCTTCACAACTTCTCTGAAGATGACCTGGTTACTCAGATTTTGGAAAAACATAAAATAGATAATTTTTCTTCTGGAACCGACATAAAGATGTGCTTGGACATCTTACTGAAATGCTCTGAGGATTTGAAAAAATGCACAGACATCATAAAACAATGCATAAAGAAAAAATCAGGGAGTGGCATCGGTGAAGGAAGTGGTAACGATGCAGTTTCTAGCTCTGAAACTGTCTATATGAATGTAATGACCAGGTTAGCATCCTATCTGAAAAAACTACCATTTGAATTCATGCAGTCTGGGAATAATGAGGCTATAGATATAACGGAACTGGTCACTAATATGCCTAGTTTACAACTGACTCCCTTCTCCCCAATATTTGGCACTGAACAGCCCCCTAAATATGAAGATGTTGTCCAGCTCTCAGCCCCTGACCCTGGACAGTTTCAAAGTATAGAATTGCAAGATGACAAGCATAGTTCTAGGAAAACAGACACTGTAAAATCCTTTCCAAACAACTCTACAAATTCCTTATATAACTTAGAGATAAGTGATCCCAAAACTCCAAAAGATGCCCAGCTTCAAACACGGTCATTAACCATGAACTCTTTAGAAAATGTTTCTTCTAGTGACCTAATGGAAACCCTTTATATTGAAGAAGAGTCAGATGAAAAGAAAGCATTAGATAAAGAACAAAGGACAGAGAATGGACCCAGTCAGGAGTTGTTAAAGGTCAATGAAGATAGAGCAGAATTTTCAGACCATGGTACTCATCTTAAAAAATGTCCTGCCTCGATGCAGAATGAAACTGGGAAGATATTTGAGAAACCAGTTGTTAATCTACCTAAGGAAGATCTTAAATCAAAAGTTCCTCAAGTCAAAGAGGGAGACCACAGAGATTTTAAAAATTCTAACAGTCAGGAAGAGATAGATAAATTGTTAATGGATTTGGAGTCTTTTTCACAGAAAATGGAGACCTCTCTAAGAGAGCCACTTGCCAAAGGTAAAAGCTCTAATTCTCTAAATAGCCACAGCCAGTTGACTGATCAGCCCTCTGTAGATCTTGAACCTAAATCTAAAGTCTCTTCACCCACGGAAAAAGTCTCACCTGCCTGTCTAACAAGGATTATTGAAACCAATGGACACAAAATAGAGGAAGAGGATCGAGCCCTCTTACTGCGAATTCTAGAAAGCATTGAAGACTTTGCTCAAGAACTAGTTGAATGCAAATCGGGCAGAGGGAGCCTATCACAAGAAAAGGAAATGATGCAAATTCTACAGGAAACTTTGACGACTTCCTCCCAAGCCAATTTATCGGTTTGTAGAAGTCCTGTTGGTGATAAAGCCAAAGATACTACTTCAGTGGTTTTGATTCAGCAGACCCCAGAGGTGATCAAGGTAAGACCCAACAAACTTGAGTCCTGAGAAGCCTCCAAAGAAATATTTTAATGTTTATAAAATTGGTAAACAAAAACTTTGTTAGCCAATGGCTACTTTTGTTAGCTATTCTATGTTCTAAAGCTGCTGTTCTACCCTAGGCAGGGTCTCACTCAATTCAGTGAAAAAGAAAAAAACTAAAAAGCAAAGGCTTTATAGTCGAGCAGACCGGTTTCAACTGCCCTCCCCACACTCCTCATCTTCTCCTACTTCTGTGACCAAAGGAAAGTTACTTAGCCTTAATATCCCTATCTGTATAAGGGAAATAATAAGGCTCGAGATAAACATGTGAAACACAAGCAAGGTATCCTATAGAAAGTAGGCATTTAATATTAGTCCTCATCCTTTCCAAACGGTAGACCAGCCATTCCTACATGCCTTTGTAGACTGTAAGATGTGATGTGGTGTACAAAAGAAAAGACGTGATTCTTTAAGAGCTTAAAATCTACTTGGGGAACAAAACGAACAAACCAGAAACAGTACATGAACATTTAGGCACTTCTCTTAAAGTGTTGTTAGTGTAATAGGTCTTCAGAGAAGGTAAAGACTAGAGTATAGGAGATTTGCTTCTTGATGCAAGTGAGAGTAAATATTAATCTAGAGTCATAGGATGGAAGTATTTTCAAAAGGCTTTGAATCTACCCTGCTACTGATAGCATTGCTTTTGAATAATCCCAGAAACACAGTTATCTGCCCATTTGTGTTTATGTCTTACTACAACAGAATCATTTCTTGTTCATTTTACACGTCCAACATGGGTTGGCAAGAAGCTCCACTCAGGGACCCAGACTGATGGACACTGTGTTCCTACAGCTGCCCCATTGTCCCATTAGGAATATGTGGTTTATGAGTTCACTGAGGAAGGGGAAGAAAGAGGTAGTGCTTATAACTGCCTTGCCCTACATATGACACACTTCCCTTCTGCTCACATTCCAGTGATTTCAACCTAAAGGCTAAGAAACATGGCGAAGCACGTAAAATATTTGGTGAGCACTATCTCTACCACATGAATGTACCATACATGTCAAAATGTGTGAATTCAGACATAAAGCCAAATCAGCAAAGCAAGTTGTAAAATAATGATATGAATTATTTAGTGATATGTACATTTGTACAAAAAGTATGAAGGAATATATGGACACACCAAATACAATGTTCAGAACAATGATTAATCCCTGGGGGAAGGAAGAGAGATCGAACTGAGGAAGGGGACACAGGGGGCCTTAGTAGTGTTAGTAATTCTATTTCGTAATCTGGTGGATCATAGTATTTTGTCATATTTTTATGCCTTTTTGTATATCTTTAATATAGCAAATTTTTAAAAGACGAGTTAAATATTAGAGATGGCATACGTGGCCAAGTTAAAAAACAATTACATATTATTTTAGCATTCTCATTACAATTTTTTTTTAATAGAAAAATATATATATTGTAATCAGTTGAATGATTTTTACCTCATATTTGTTTTGTGGCTGTTTTTCTGTGCACATTTTTAGTTACCAGTGACACTAAAGTTTAAAACAACACATTCTTAAGGTTATTCAGTGATGATTTGGGTCTAAATATCCTCAAACTTTCACTGAGCTTTTCTGTGACATCTCTGTGTGAATCTCATTTGTTGGTTCACAAGTGGTAGTGTCTTTAATTAACTTGGGTCAATACTGGGGGGATAAACTGTGGAAATTAACTTCAAATATAAGAAAAAATCTTTTCATGTACATGGACAGTACTGATGTACTTAATATTTTATAAAGAAAACAAAATACATATATAGCAACCTCAGATTTATCATAACATATTAAGAGCTAACAGTTCTTGTGAGTTAACACATGTTAAGATATTTAGATGTATTGTATCACTATTTTACCCCACAATATCCTGTCTGCCCATTAAAAAGAAATGTCCACCTTCTCTGATGACCTATTCCAACATCTCACAACCTTTATAACCAAAAACTCTAACCATAATACAGTGTTTTGAATTTTGTTTAACCCTCTTCCTTCATTATCTTCTGTGAAAAAAGGAGACAAAATTCTTCTGGAAGAGATGGACTGTAGAAAGTAGAAAATGTGAACCTGAAGCCAAGAATAAGTTTCATGCAGCACCTGTCCTGCACCCAGGCTGATACCTCATGAGGGGGTCCCCCGTGACACCTCCAATCTAAGTACAGCTACCTAAAAATGTCACACTGGGCTCTAAATAAGCTTCCCAGTTTATTGACAAGGACTATGATCAAAATCTTACGAAAAGATTCTCTCATCAGCCTTTTAAATAAGTTCCAATATCATAGAATAAAATTGGTAAGATTTCTTCTTGATGAAAATGGAAAGTGTAACTCATGAAAAGCTAATTTAAAGAGACAAATAATATAAAAAATACAAAATTCAGGAAGATACTTAATGAAAGAAAACAAAGCCATTTCTCCTTGATTCAGTTGCCTCCCTACTTGTATTTTTTATTTTTTTATTTTTTAATCTTTCTTGTTTTCTTATGACATATTTTAAACCAGGAGTTGGCAAATGTTTTCTGTAAAGGACCAGATAGTAAGTATTTCGGGCTTTGCAGATCACAAGTTCTCTGTCACGGTCTTCTTTGTCTTTTTTAGAAGTAATTATTTAATAATATAAAACCTTTCTGGGTGGGCGGGGCCCGGCGGGTTCTCCGCATCTGTCTGTGACACCGGAGCCCGTGGGTCCCCTTGGTCCCAAGACCCCATCATGGTGCATGCGGGCGCCATGGGGACGCATCTCCCCGCGTCTAGCTTGGACATCTTCGGGGACCTGAGGGAAATAAACAAGCGCCAGCTCTATTACCAGGTTTTAAACTTCGCCGTGATCATGTCTTCTGCACTCATGATTTGGAAAGGCTTGATCGTCCTCACTGGCAGTGAGAGCCCGACCGTGGTGGTACTGAGTGGCAACATGAAGCCAACCTTTCACAGGGGTGACCTTCTGTTCCTAACAAATTTCCGGGAAGACCCCATTAGAGCTGGTGAAATTGTCGTGTTTAAGGTCGAAGGACGAGACATTTCCATAGTTCACAGAGTAATCAAAGTTCACGAAAAAGATAATGGAGACATCAAATTTCTGACTAAAGGAGATAATAATGAAGTTGATGATAGAGGCTTGTACAGAGAAGGCCAGAACTGGCTCGAAAAGAAGGACGTGGTGGGGAGAGCCAGAGGATTTTTACCATATGTTGGTATGGTCACCATAATAATGAATGACTATCCAAAATTCAAGTATGTTCTGTTAGCTGTAATGGGTGCATATTTGTTACTAAAACGTGAATCCTAAGATGAGAAGCAGTTCCTGGGACCTGATTGAAACGAATTCTATTGAAAAAGAGAAAAACTAATATATTTGAAATGTTCCACTTTCTGTGTAAAGGGAAACAATGTGGAGATGTTTATGTCTTGTCCAAATAAATGATTCATCAGTAAAAATTAAAAAAACAAACAAACAAAAAAAACCTTTCTTAGTTCCAAGCCTGACAAAAACAGGCAGTGGGACAGATTTGACCCACAGACTGGTTTTGTCAACCTGTTTTAAGCAAATCGAAAAGTATGGTGAATGATAGAAAGAGCACTCATTACCCACCACTTAGCTTTGTCAAATCTTGACATTTTGCCATATTTGCTTCAGATCTTTGCTCTGTTTAATATTTTCATTGTCACCATCATTGTTTCAAAAATTCATCTCAGATATAGTACCTCGGGCTGCCCTCCCTAGTATCCTCTCCCCTTTTCAGAACTAACTACTGCTCTGAAGTTGGTGTTGACCCCTCCTGAAAGTTTCCATACGGTCTTATTTGTCATGTTTTTATTCTTATATAGAGTGAACAGAAAGTCAGTAGTAGGAAATAATATCAGAGAGATGGATTGGGCCAACTTATGAATGACCCTGTATGCTACACAAAAGAGTTTGTTCTAAGGGAGTTGGGAGCTAAAGAAGGCTTTTAAGCAGAGGAGTCTCACAGCATGATTTTTTAAAAGAATAATAAATTGTAAATTAAGGCTTTTGAAAAACTTTTTGGACAGTCAAAATCTTGCCAATTTTTCAAAATATTTTGATTAAAATATTTACATAATAGGGCATGTAGGAAGTGCTTTTACATGACACTGGTGATTATCCCTGAAAATAAATATTGACTTGACAATATTATATGTCATTAATATTTTAATATGTGTTTCAAAATAGTTTCTCAAGAGTGAACAGTATTTGTTGTTCAGATATTTGTTGTCCTGAATACAATCCAAACCTGTATTGGGAGAGGGCGTCAAATAGAAAATACTAGGAGGAGGGGCCAGCTGAGTGGCTTAGTTGGTTAAGAGTTGGCTTTAGAGTGCAAGCTCTGAGCAACAGGGCTGCTGGTTCAATTCCCACATAGGCCAGTGACACTGCGCCCGAGCTGAGCTGCTGCTGAGCTGCCAACTGGTGGCAGGGTGGCTCAGCTGGTGAGAGCACGTGCTTCTAACAACAAGACTGCCTGTTCAATAGTGGGCTATGCCACCCGCAACTAAGACTGAACTCGGCACCTTGAGCTGAGCTGCCACCCGGATAGCTCAGTGGATAGAGTGTGCGCTCTTAACAACAAGGCTGTTGGTTCGTCTCCAGCGTGGGATGGTGGCTACGCCCACCCGCAACTAAAATTGAACACAGCACCTTGAGCTTAGAGGCCACAAGCTGCCAATGGGCAGCCAGATGGTGACTGGCACCCTCCACAACAAAAATTGAGGAACAACAACTTGGCTGGTCCCCTTCCCCAATTCCCCAACACTGTTCCCCTCCCCCAGTTCTCCAATTTTTTAAAGAGGGAGAGAGAGAGAAAGAAAGAGAGAGAGAGAGAAAGAAAGAAAGAAAGAAAGAAAGAAAGAAAGAAAGAAAGAAAGAAAGAAAGAAAGAAAGAAAAAGAAAGAAAGAGAAAGGAAGAAAAGAAAGAAAAGGGAAGGAAAAGAATGA